CTTTTATCTTCTTCCATTTTTGTTGTTATATTTTTATTCAAATTCTATTTCTATTAATACTGTGAAACTAGTGTTGCATTAGCTATATAAAGATCATTTAAACATCAAGGAAGGTAATATTCATCTAGAAGACCAGATCTGAAAATATATTGAATGAAGTACAAATCTATGATCATATTGTATCAAATATAGTTAAATTATATTCAATTTTTTTTGAGTGTATCATAATGTATAGTTAATATATAACTCATATATAAGTGAGTATTTTATATTATTTTTGACAAACTATATTATATAATCAGTGTATACTTTCTATGATTCTTGATATAAAGACTTATTAATGCCTTAGATATATTTTATTTTTACTGAAATTATGACCTCGAAATGCCTAACTTCAGACATTTTTTTACAGAGATTATGGCTTTGAAAAGGCCAAATTTCAGACATTATTAATGTTGCAGACATTTTGGCATGAGTCAGACACATATTTGTCTACACTAAAAGACATTTTAACATGGAATTAAGGTGAATAAATTTTTGACAAAAATTAACCACTTAGTTTTAACTTTTAACAATCTAACACACGATTCAAATTTTCAAATCTACCTCAAATGAAATTAAATTTGTAGCATACATTTCTTGTATCATAATAAAATATCCAGTGAAATTTTGACTTAATATTCTTGATCAAACTTTTAAGAGTTCCATGGCCCAATCCCCAAAAAGTGGTGAGTTGCTATATTGAGCCCATGATTTAGAAGGCCGGGAATTACCTGGGCCCAAGACTACTTGGAGCATGAGCACATCTTAGTAAGCCCATAACTCTTCTACTTGGATTACTTCATAGATCAATAAAACAAAAATTTTAAAAGAAAAATGGGCAATTGAGGGTAGGGAATGGAAAAACAGGGAGGAGATTATAAGGTAGGAAATAGAATTTTCACCAACAAAGTGGAAGTATAGATAACCAATTAACTGAGCTATTAAAGATTCCCATTATATAACCGTTTTTGCTAATATGTTTGGTTAAGTTCTTTTGCAAAATATGTCTCAACTCTCCACCTCTCTCAAACGAGATTTTAGTCGCTCGTGCCTGATATTTATATCAATAGTCAATCTATATTGATAAATGTTTTTAAATTTATATGTATTTCTATATTGAATTATATTTGATCAACCATCTATTCATATAGTTATTAAGTAATAATTACCCTTTGGTGTTTTTCAGTTACTCTTGCTTTATAGGATAAGTAGTACAAAAATATATTCAATGTGATATTATAAGTGAGCTTTAGAGTGAATGTGGTGTACGCCAATGTACGTTTGCGTGTTTTTGATAGATTCATGACTTAAATAGTATTGTGTAATCTTATTACTTTTTTAAAAAAAAGAAGATATGTTCTTGAAAAATGTCTGTCACATAAACTCTTTTATACTATGTTTTAATGGTTGTTATCTATTATTTCATAATATATTGTATTTTGTGTAGTATTGTATTATATTGTTTTACTAAATATAACGTTTGAATAGATTGCATCATTTTCGTCGTTATATAATGTCACACAGTAATAATTTGAAGAATAACCTATAAGAAAAGTAGGATACGGGGTAGAGCAACTACAAAGAAAGATAAGGTAAAATTCGAATAAGATTACTAATTAAATAACAAGACAAAATGAAAAAAAAGGAGAGATAATGACGTGATTGCACTAAATAAATCGTTGCACAAATGAGACTTTTCGTAGTTACCTAACAATGAATTCAACATGCAATACAATACAAGCTGTGAATTCCAACAATGTGGAAGTTCATCAAAGTAGACAACTTTTAGACTTATATTTTAAGATGAAGAAGAAGGAACACAGTCGCTTTGGCCGAGTGGTTAAGGCGTGTGCCTGCTAAGTACATGGGGTTTCCCCGCGAGAGTTCGAATCTCTCAGGCGACGAATTCTTTTTATCTTTTTTTTTTTTTTACATTACAAATTATTTGAATATGTTTTTTTTTAAGCCGATGATATATAGGAAACAACCTTTCTATCTTTACCGTTAGAGATAAATTTCAGGTTCACTATACTTCTTCAGATCACATTTGTGAGTTTACACTATATTATTGTTGTGCATGCGTTGTAATCTTTACGGTTAGGGATAATTTCTGTCCGACTGTAAATACTATACCTCTTCAGACCACATTTGTGATATTACATGAACTATATTGTTATTGTTATGTGTTGTGTATCTTTTTCACCATTGTTTATTTGCGTCAGACCTTCACAATAGAATGATTCGGTCACCTCTCAATAAACACAAGTCCAAGAACTGAAAAATCTAGTAAAACAGAACAATAATCTAGTCTGCATAAAGATTATATATATGTTATTACAAGCTACTAAGTGGAACTTACATTAGTTTGAGCTTGTTTATAGTTCTGTTTGATTAGATTCCCCAATTCTTGCACATGTTAATTGAGAGGTGACTGACTCTATTGTTGCTAACTAATTGAATTATTTTAGGGAAAAAGATAAATATAGCCCCGAACTATTGTAAATGGTATGCAGATATCCTTCATCATACTTTTGGGACATTGGTGCCCCTGCCGTCTAAAAACTAGAACATATATGCCCTTTACTCTATCGGAAGACTAAATAGGGACAATCTTATCCGTCCATTCAATATTTAATAAATGTCGGATCAGTAGATAAGATTATGACACGTGTATGTCCGTTAGTATAAAGGGTATATATGCTCTAGTTTTTGAACGCCAGGGGCACCAATGTCCCAAAAGTATGACGGAGGATATCTACATACCATTTACGATAGTTCGGAGTTATATATGTCCTTTTTCCCATTATTTTATGCCCAACTAGTGAATTTAATAAGAAACTTCTACTTTGTGTTGATCGAGCTCCATTAATCGATGAGTAAAATAATTTAACTTATTGTTCTATTTTTGTGTTTGTTCTATGTAATGCGAAGACACTATGCAAACATAATGGAAATGTTATTTATGGTATTAGAGTGAAACCCCATTCCAATTCCAATCATTCGATCATTGACACTGAACTCCATATTATATTATTCACACTTTAATTAATATGATGTGTAGGTGTGTCAGAAGTATAAAAGGTCCCTTTGAGATATTGTACTAATCACTATGGTAAGGGATTATACTATCAATTTATCATCATGATTAAGAGATTCAATAAGCTGGGAAATATTAGTATTAGTCAATCACGACTAAGTGATACAACTTTGTGTTCAAATATATATCATACATTTATAAATTTTATTTTACTTGGCACCCCTTTAGGGAAATATTTATTAGTGATTTATTATACTAAACTAATCTTATTAATTATATAGCGACAAAAGTATTTATAGAAAAAATAATTGCAATGCAAGAAACACATTAGTGAAAAATGTCAATTAAGACTTCGAATTTTGGTCTCATTAGTCAGCATCCAGTAAGTTTTATAAAATTGTCACTATATAGAGGGAACATTCTGGAAGTTTCTAGAATCTCACAACATGTTGAGCACACTTTTGTACTTTCTGGAATGTTCTCTTTATACATATATATGTATACGTAAATATTTATAGTTACCCTGACCAAAAAATAAATAAAAATATTTATAGTTATTATGTTAATTAATTCGACTAATTATGCTAATTTCATTAAAACTCATATTATAAAAGAGGAAAAAAGTTTTATAGAAATACAAAAAACACAAGACTAATCAAAAGACAATGTGTTAGATTACAAGTCTAAGGCTATGTCTATTGGCTCTAGAAGAGTCGAAAGAGGCCATTTGGTAGACGATACTTATTAAAGTAATTTTTTTTTTATATTATACTATTTTTGAAACTTTTTTACTTTTTCTTTGATAATGTTTTTCTTTTACTATTATAGTGTCCAAATCAATTTTTGCGACTCAACTAATTACTTACAATACATGTCATCTTCCTCCAACAACAAATATTAGATAATTCTATCCCAAAATTATGACAGATGAGAAGAATTATCTAGTATCTTTTATTTCCATGGAGTTTTTTCAGTGTTTTTATATTAGTAAACTAAACTTATACCTTATATATACATTTTATTATAACAAATACAGAGTAATACAAGTTGATAAAAAACAATTATTACTGTTATTTACTTTATTATAAAATTACGAATTTGGCTCCCCTCCATTACCCCTTCACTCTATTTCGTCAAGTGTACATCTAGATGAGAGACATGTGTCTTATTTAAATTTATAAGGTCAAGATTATACGACATAATCAAATATTATAACCATAATAAGTCAACCAATTTTGAAAAACTACTCTCTAAATGTGGTAAGAACAAGATATGTTTTATAAATTTTGATATTCATTAATTTTATCTTATATTTTTATATTCAAATATTAAAAATTTCTTTTATTCCCTACAAACAAATTTTAAAACATACTTCTTTTTTTCCCCTTCAAACACAGTACGTAGCCACACTTTCTCTTCTTACTAAAGTGTGGTAATTTTGATATTTCACATTTGTAATTCTAATAATTTCTAGTCTTTTTTATTTTTTATTCCCGTTCTTTACTTTTAGGTTTTTGTCTACATTGATGATTATTCACCTCCTTTTTTTTTTCCTTTTCTCAACATATAAAGTATTTCAAGAATAAATTTTATTATCACATAAATTTATTTAGTTGATTCTCATCTTAAATATAGTACAATTTAATATTTAAATACAAAAATATAAAATGAAATTAATGAATATCAAAATTTATAGAAAATATCTTATTCTTACCACATTTAGAGAGTAATTTTTCAAAATTGGTTGACTTAATTATGATTATAATATTTGTTAATGTAGTATAATCTCAACCTTACAAATCCTAAAATTACAGGTCAAATATTATATTTTAATGAGTATTAATTAAATTAATATTAGTTGGCAGGTGCATTATTATAAAAAGGTTAATGGTTTATCTAGAAAGTATCAATCCGAAGTTTCATACGAAAAGGCAGCCTTTCATTTACTATATAAAGGACCCTTCTGTATACATTTTTCTCAATTCTCATTTTTCTCAATCTACTTCTCCTGCTTTCGATCGATCGCTTTCTCTCTCGCTCGGTCATTTGATTACCAGCACCGTTTCAAGGTAAGATTTCTCTCTTATGATTTCCTTAATCTCGAGTTTTCACTTTAATCTTCCTTGATGTTTTCCGTAACTTGTAATCGTTGATATTCTGCTTTAGATCTGTTAATTTCGATCTGAGTGGACCATAGATCTGATGTAATCGCAGTTTTTTGTGTGTAATCTGTTTTTGTTTGATAAATTGAGTCAGTGGAGGTTGGAAATCACGGAATTTGCTTTAGATCTGTTAATTTTGATCTGATCAGATCATAGATCTGATGAAATCACAATTATTTCCTGTGTATGTTATATGTTTTTGTTTAATTAATCTACTCGGTGTGTAGGAAATCACGGAATTTGCTGTAGATATGTGAATTTCGATTTGATCCGACTACAGATCTGATCAAATCACAATTTTTTCATGTGTATGTTATCTGTTTCTGGATCAGGGAATCTGTTTCTGTATATCTATTTAAGTAGATCTACATAAATTTGATGGAGGATGTTATGTTTCCATGTCTTTTATTAGATTTAGATCTAGGTGATGCTATTTTAGGAATCCTTGAACTATACAAAGTTGTTGAGTTAGAAGAAGATAGAAACATAATGATAAGGTTATCTGTGTGTTGGCTTGTGATAATTAAGAATTTAACAGTATGATAATTTTCAAGGCTGTGTATTGATTGTCATCTGTACAGAAACTTAGTTAGAGGGCTGCCTTCTTGAGAAGGCATGTTATGCGTATTTTTTACCCACAAAGGAAAATAAATTACTCTCATGTTGAGTCAATTAGTGCTTGTGTATTGTGAAAAAAGACATCTTTTTTTAATTAAAAGAACTCTTTTACCTCGAGAGAACTTACTGAATTGAATTGGTTTTATAGACATATATCGAATGATGTCCTGTGAAATTTACCTCAATCCAATGGTTCCTGCTGTATTAATTGTGTCATTGCATCATGCTGTCATGAGGATTTAATGTATATCAAACTATTTTCATTCAGTCTTTTGCAATCAACTTTTGTATGTTTGGCGAATTAATGTAAAACATCTGCATCCATGTAATATGGAATTAGTTCATATTATGGATTCTTATTTGTTTTCTTTTGATTTCCTTCACCTATGTTTTGGATTATTAGTTTTTCCGTTTTGTCTAATGACTTCTCTTTTTGATTAATTATAGATGCAAATCTTTGTTAAGACCCTTACTGGCAAGACCATAACTCTCGAGGTTGAGAGTTCTGACACAATCGATAATGTTAAGGCAAAGATTCAAGACAAGGAAGGAATTCCTCCTGATCAGCAAAGGCTGATCTTTGCTGGAAAGCAATTAGAGGACGGTAGAACTCTTGCAGACTATAACATCCAGAAGGAGTCCACCCTCCACCTTGTCCTTCGTTTGCGTGGTGGTATGCAGATCTTTGTGAAAACCTTGACTGGGAAGACAATTACTCTTGAGGTTGAGAGCTCTGACACTATTGACAATGTCAAGGCAAAAATCCAAGATAAGGAAGGGATTCCTCCAGATCAGCAGAGGCTGATCTTTGCCGGGAAACAGTTAGAGGATGGAAGAACTCTAGCTGACTACAACATCCAAAAAGGAGTCCACACTCCACCTTGTCCTTCGTCTGCGTGGTGGCATGCAGATCTTTGTGAAAACCTTGACTGGGAAGACAATTACTCTTGAGGTTGAGAGCTCTGACACTATTGACAATGTCAAGGCAAAAATCCAAGATAAGGAAGGAATTCCTCCAGATCAGCAGAGATTGATCTTTGCCGGTAAACAGTTGGAGGATGGAAGAACTCTAGCTGACTACAACATCCAAAAGGAGTCCACACTCCACCTTGTCCTTCGTCTGCGTGGTGGCATGCAGATCTTTGTGAAAACCTTGACTGGAAAGACTATTACCCTCGAGGTTGAAAGCTCAGACACTATTGACAATGTTAAGGCAAAAATTCAGGACAAGGAGGGCATTCCTCCAGACCAGCAAAGGTTGATTTTTGCTGGAAAGCAACTTGAGGATGGTCGTACTCTTGCTGACTACAATATTCAGAAGGAGTCCACCCTCCACCTTGTCCTTCGTCTGCGAGGTGGTATGCAGATTTTTGTGAAGACATTGACAGGGAAGACCATCACCCTTGAGGTTGAGAGTTCTGACACCATCGACAATGTCAAGGCTAAAATTCAAGATAAGGAAGGCATCCCACCTGACCAGCAGAGGTTGATTTTTGCTGGGAAACAGCTTGAGGATGGAAGGACTCTAGCAGATTACAACATTCAAAAGGAATCAACTCTCCATTTGGTGCTGCGCCTAAGGGGTGGTATGCAGATTTTTGTGAAGACATTGACTGGGAAGACAATCACCCTGGAGGTAGAAAGTTCAGACACCATTGATAATGTGAAGGCAAAGATCCAAGACAAAGAAGGGATTCCACCAGACCAGCAGCGTTTAATTTTTGCTGGCAAGCAGCTTGAGGATGGTAGGACTCTTGCTGATTACAATATCCAGAAAGAGTCCACACTCCATTTGGTGCTCCGTTTGAGAGGAGGAATGCAGATCTTTGTCAAGACACTTACTGGAAAGACGATTACCTTGGAGGTGGAGAGCTCAGATACCATTGATAATGTGAAGGCGAAGATTCAGGATAAGGAGGGTATCCCACCAGACCAGCAGAGGTTGATTTTTGCTGGTAAGCAGCTGGAGGATGGTCGCACCCTTGCTGACTATAACATTCAGAAAGAGTCAACTCTTCACCTTGTTCTTCGTCTCCGTGGTGGCTTTTGAGAATTTATTGCTTTTGTAACTGTGTTTTCTTCTCCTTTGGTCGAAAGATGTTTTCCAGACTTTTCTGGTTTTAGTTTTGTGATGTTGCCTTTCTTATGTGTGGTTGAACTGTCGTTTATGTGAATAAATAAAAATTTAGCTCTGTTACTATGTAATATGGTTGCATTCTTGGTTTTCGAATTTGTGCTTTTTAGCTTTACTATTTTAATTTAGAGCTGGTCTTCTGACGTTGTGCAATGTGCACAAATGTGGGACAAAATTGGTTTGTTTGATGGAGGCTGTGACCTGAGCGCGAAAGAAGGAATTTGCCCGCATTGTGTACAATTTCTTGAAAAACATACTATTTTTTGGCATGTTGAATCAGGAGAAATATCACATTGAACACTGATGAACATATATTTCAATCTAATCGTTTTTCCTGGGCCATATGTATATGGTTAAAAAATGCGTTCACGTTCAGCATTTTCACCAGTTAATTGAGGGATCCTTTGCTGGTATGCATCACTCTTCCCCCCATTGTCATATGCATTTGCATATGCTGCAGCGCCAATATACAAAAAATGTGAGGGGAAAGCAGGCAGGTAATTCAAAACCTGAAAACTTGAAAGAAGATAGTTTGAGATTGCAATAGGTTAGTAATGAGCTGCTAGTTAAAAAGAGTTAAGAGTTAGAACACTCTATTTGGACCTTTTTATTTTTATAATGCCGATTAATCAATTAGTGATTCTTGTACTCAAGAGGCGGATCCAGTTTTTGGAGCTTGTATATATGGGTTCTCTTGGAACTACTATCTTTAACCGAGTGCGTTTGGTATAGTAGTAGTCTGATAGTTAATACTTTTTCCCTTCTTTAGTAAAGCCGAGCATAACCATTATATTGATTATGCCAAATTTAAAAACAAGGTTTCACTCGTTATGGATCAATACCATCCCGTTAAGGACTACGCTGGTAAGGTTTTGGGCTTTGTATTGAATTAAAACACACGCTCCAGTAACATAGAAGTCTCGACTTCAAGCTGCTGTCTTTTTATAGAAGGTGAGAGCTATACCTTCAGGAATCGGAGCAACAACTACCATAAAGCAAGGAGATGGGGAAATACATCTTTTTAAGCCGATGCCTTATTTGTAACAGAAAAACATAAAAGTGAATATAAAAAATTTCTACAATATTAATTTTTGAGTCTATAATTTCATTATGACGAGTTCAATGTAGAAACATTAAGGTCAAATTTATCGAGTTGAAATCTTGGATTCACCTTTAGGTGATTTGCACAAAGATATTTGAATCTACTTTTCATATTTTATCTCTGTTTAAGGAAGTTCTGCAAAAATAACTTGGACGCTACATATTCGAGAGAATGAAAAATTTATTAATATTGTTCTATTATTCAAGTTACGCCGGGGCATAACTTTGATATTAAATATTTTCGTTATGCCTATTTATTAAATTGTATAAGCCAGGAGTGCCAAATCAATAGAAGATTAGTAGGTACTTATTGAATTTAACTAAATTTACATATATTGTCATGTTATTAAATTATGCTTCGTATCGAAAGTATTGGATTTAATTGAAGCCATTCAAAATTTATAACAATCTCACCATTGAATAATTCAAGAACCAAAATAAAACTTTGTCCTACTTTTAAGGACAAGCCTATTACTCATTGTCCAATATCCACTATATAATGCCCAAATAATTACCTTTTCAATTCATCAAAAGATTAAAAAAAAATACAAAGAAAATATACATAACTCAAATTGTGGTCTCTCTTTCTTCCATAAAAGCTATAGGAGGAAAGGGACCATATCCTAATAACCAAATAATTAAATTAAATCACAATTTTTAAGTTGTTATTTGATCAATTAATTTCCTTTCAAATATGGCAAAGGAATCAAGAAATGTACATTCTTGTAGGATGGAGGTTGCTCCAGCCCTTATAACGTATCGACGAAAGCCTTCACATAAGTCCGGATTGGAGACTATTAGGGAAGAGATCAACGAGGGATCTGATGATGATACATAGTTTGATTTTTTTTTATACTGTCAGCGTATAGAATATGAAATTAAACTCTTCTCGAAATTTGTTTCTATGAGATATTGAAGTTTTAATTAGGTCCCAATTGGATGAGTTTAGGTGTTGAAGGTTGCATGGGTTAAACATGCAAATTCATATTGTAGTACATTTTGCTTTTGAATTAATAATTAATTAAATGCTTTAGATTATTAATAGAAAAAAAATTTGTTGTGTGTTTGAATTATTGTTCTTAAATTATTTGTAGGTTGACGATGGAAATTAATTAGGATAAAATTAATTTTGAAGTTTTTGCTACTTAAACACTGCAATACAAAAATATTAATGTAGATCTATTTGACTTAAATAAAAATCCAAAAATAATATAAAGTGGGTAGGAATGAAAGAAGGGATTATACAGTGAGAATCGGACTCTCACCAATAAAGTAAAAGTTCGGATAGCTAGCCGAACAATTGAGATACTAACATCCTCTAAAATAGCATTTTTTTTTTCATTCCATATCATATTACTTTTTAAGTATTTAATCTCCATGTCTCAAATTATCTGTCGTGTTTATCTTTCACGTATCTTTAGAAAAAAAACCCATCAATCATGAGGGATTTTGACTATTTTATCTTTATTTTATGTGTTAAAATATAATCTCTCTTGATTAAATCTTTACTATATTTAAGTGTCATCATCTTATAATTGAAGTATATGTAGTATTCAAAAATAATTACTAAGGATAAAATGAGAAAAGAGTAATTAATTCTATCTTGAATTTCTAAATTGACAAATAATTTGAAATAACTATTTTTAAAAATCACGTTAGATAATTTAACACAGAGAGACTGAGAGAGTACCACTTTTACAACTTTCCAAGACTCAATCTTTGATCATGTGATGTTAATATTTTTCTATCAAACTAATTGTTTAACTTCTAATGCTCTTATATTTTTTCCCACTATTTCACTAATGGAATGACAGTGTATGGATTAGTGTCAAAATTTTGAAAGCCTAAATAGAATGTAATGGTAATTGGGAGATCCATATAGTAATTGACGCATATTGTAATTATTGACTAAAATAATATAATTCCACCACAAATATTGAGTGGCCTTATAAATACAACTGTTGTGCAGGTAATTTTTAACCTCTTACATAATCAAGCAATATCATATAAAATAATTAGACGAAGTAGTACCAAATCCACTCATAATCTTAAAAAAAGTAAAAAAAAAAGTGAGGGTTTAAATTAAATTATTAGAAATACAATGGATAACCGACCAATTAATAGAGTCCACAAAACCAGTAGCACCTTACTATGATCCTTTTTACTATTTTTATTTACAACTCACCTGTGTTCGATATCTATTTTGAAATCTGACTAAATTCATATTAACGTAATCCTAAGATACTACAATCTTACTTGCTCTACACATGGAGACTCTATAACCACTTTGAAATTATGATGTATTTGGTACGGAGGAGAATATTTTCTAAAAAATGTTTGCTTATTTTCTCATATTTGAAAAACATTTTTTCCAGAAAAAACAAGTTCTTAAAAAATGAGGAAAGTGATTTTCTTAATGAAAATAGGAAAAACAAGTTCTATAAGTGACATTTTATATTTGATGTATCATCTTATTCATCCAACGTTCCAAACCCCCTATCCCTTAGCTTGATCATCCCACCTCCGATCCCCAATTCATATAATTTTTTTGCTATTAAAAATATTTTTCTTCGTATCGAACACACTAATACCATCCTTTTTATCTTTCTAAACTCGTGGAGATAACGTTATTTAATATGCCTTTTTAACACATACAGTATTAATTCCTTAATAAAATCAAATGATTGGAAAATGGCAGTTGTACTTGACATGGCTATATATTAGTTGTTGTAATTAAGAAAAAATTGTGGGCTGAGTTGGAATGGACGGTGGTGTGAGCCATTATATATATGAAGGAAAATTAATTTGTGGTTAATGTAGATGGTCGGTTTTATTTAACATTTTCATATTATGTTTTGTTTTTTTGTTTTAAAAAAAAAACTTTTATTGTAACATTCGTATTGCCTTTGACATAAGATGAGTTCCACACATAGAGTATTGATGGGGTGTTTTTTTTTATTTTTATATATGTCGGGCAATTTTGATCTTTTGAATTAGCTTTTAAAGTTGAGTTAATTTATCGTAAATAACCTCTTGATCATTTTCCTCAAAGCATAAATAAAATCTACCTATATCTCATCATATTCAGATCTCATCTACGAAATTATACTGAATATGTTATTTTATCGTTAGATATCCGACCCTTCAAGACCCTCAAGTTAAGAGGTGAGCTATCAAAAAAGAAATTAAAATGGGGCGGCTAAAAAGTGAGTTTAATTAATACTCCACTAATTAATTAGTTCAAGATTATCCATATATAAATACCACCTTCCACTCTCTATCAACTCCACCACAATCAATTATTTTCACACATTTCTCTCTAACTCAAAAACAAATATTTTTAGTAGTTTACAAATGGCCAAGGATATGGAGTATGGAAATGACCAATATGCCCCTAGTAAAGACTACCAAGACCCACCTCCAGCACCACTTATTGACCCTGAGGAACTTGGAAAATGGTCATTTTACAGAGCTATTATTGCTGAATTTATTGCCACACTTTTGTTTCTATACATCACTGTACTCACTGTGATTGGCTACAAGAGCCAAAGTGATGGTGACCAATGTGGTGGTGTTGGCATTCTTGGCATTGCTTGGGCTTTTGGTGGAATGATTTTTGTTCTCGTCTATTGCACTGCTGGCATTTCTGGTACGTTGAATTGTGTGACCATCATCTCGTATGAGTATTTAAACTATTACCGTTCAATTCATGTGACGAACCAAACTTCATTTTTTATATAGTAACATCTTCTCATATGCGAGTCTGATATCAACCACACCTATGAAAATTCCTTTTGATAACAAGTAGCAATAAAAATTGAATTATGTAACCATCTAATTAGAAAAGTTAAGCTATCAGATCGAGCATATTTTTATTTACTTAATTATGTTACGGACAATATATTTAATGGGGTTTCCAATTTTGTATATGCAGGAGGACATATTAACCCTGCTGTGACATTTGGGCTCT